TTAGAAAAACAATAGGGCCCTGCGCCTTACTGGCTTGGGCCCTAAAAATGCAATGTGCACTGAAAATATTTTGTATGTAATTCTCTGCACATTAAACTTGGGAATTTTAAAAGGAAACGTACATACAGCAGTTTAAGCTGACATTTTTTTTGGTCATCACAGAGCACATACTGTAACACTGTGTAATAGCATTACCTTTCTGTTGTCATCATAGCTTGAGTCCACTCCAAGAATTCTGGCAGCATTTGCTTTTGGAAATTTCTTTTTCAGATATGCAGTTACTGTATCCACAGAAAGAGTCTCTCCAACTTCCACCCTGTTATATATCTGGATTTTACAAAAAAAACAAAAAACAACAATAGAATTTAATGACCAAATTAGTACATTTACGTTCACAGAAGTCGTCTTTGGATATCCCTCCTTCCTCGTCCATAAAATGAATGTCTTGAACAAAATAATGTGTACAGTACATTATAACTGAAAATATCTGCTATAGTACACAGTATAAACCAGGCCTTCAAATATTAATACCTTAATGTGAAGGAGAAGCCTAAAGTAACATTAAAGTCATTTTGATTTAAAAGAGAGTCAGAGCAACCACAAAGATACTCACTGACACCATGAACGTAAAAGCCTGTGCTTCATCATACTCCTCTGAGATGTAGTTTAACAGCCTAAAGAGAGCAACACCTGCATCCAAAAACCCATCCACTTTATCATCCGCACTGACAACCAGCACAAACCCAATCCTAAGAGACACGGAAACATAAATGCATATCAAATCTGGCATAAAATCTCACCAACCATAAAATTATCAACAAATAAAACTGAACAGTACCAAAGGGCTCATGATAATAAAATGAGGTTTGTTTGTTGAATGTTAAGTAAGGCATAACGTCAGCTGCTTATTACATGGTTACTTACCAAACAGATAAAAATGGACATGAAATATTGATTTGAGTTGAAATTATACGTAAGAAACCATTAAGTGACATGAAAATAGCAGCGCTATGTAAGGAATTTTCTGTGACAATGGTCCATTCTACAGTTTAACAGTCATTATTCAAAAGTTAACAATCAGAATCACATATTTCAGTACAAGTCATATATATAACTGAAAAAATGCTAAGGTTCAAGTAAAATGAATGAAATGCTATTGTGGAGTGCACAAACCTGAGAGGAATGTTATGTTTGTAAAATAGTTCTGCTAATTTCACCAGCTCAATGCTCTCTTCTTGTATTGGGTCAAGAAACAGAACCTGCAAACAACAAATAAAACCATTTTTCATTCTTTCACAAATTAGAATTAGAATGAACAAATTCATAAAAAATGGGTCTGCAGCAGTGCTAAAAAAGTGGGGAATCGGGGGATGAACATCCCTGCATGAACCTGCGAACACAGCTAGATTTCAGCTTAGACTATAATCAACTCACAAGCAAGTTGACTCACCAGGTTATAGAAGTTACGGCGTATTTGTCGAATAACTCCAGGAAATGTTGCTCTGAGGAGCTCTTGGACACTTGAGGGCCAGTGACGATACATGGAGTCCTTCTCAATATCATTAGCCCACTAGAAAATGACAGACATTTGTTACATTGTGAAAGCCTTTATGCGAGCAGTGAACACCCATTTTATCTGCAGCTTGGGTTCCAGAAGTATTTTATCCATTTAACTTTAGCATTAGCAAAAATGAAACAAACAAAAAAAAATCACGACATTTGATTCAAAATTGATACTTAGCATCCAAGAAGCTCATGGCAGGTCAGTCTTAAAAGGTTCTATTATACATTAATCAGTTAGTACTAAAACCAATTTCTCTATGTAGACTTAAAACATGGTCATTTACTTCCAGAGCTCTACAACCACACTCAAATAATTAGCGTCTTACCATAATGGATGAGTGGCGGATGTCCAGAGCGTAGCTGTCCTCTACAGTGGTTGATGATGGTAAATGCAGGAACTTACTAACGCTGCTTCCTCTGATGCCAAGGTTATGAAGACCTTCGAGAATCTTAGCCTCGCTTCTGAGAATGTCCAGGATGCTACAGAGCAGTCGAGAATGAACAAATTTACAGAATGAGTTTAACATACATAAAACATGTTGAGGAACGTTAGTGGTACCAATTACCATTTGGTAAGAGGATCTTGCACTGGGATCATACCTGAAAGGGTTATGAATGTCCAGGTCAACATGTATTCCATTAATAAACAGACTGGCATCTCCAGGTTGGATCCCCATCGACTCACTCAACCTCTGAAATTTAAGGACCCGTCAGCTACACCATCACTTTATAGACTTCACATCATTCAGTATGGACATGATTTGCTGAAACATGATCTTTTTGTATTGGATTCTTCATCTGAGACTCTCAAGACACTCCAGAGTACTCATCAAACTTAGAGAGGACATGTTTAATTTTCTAAAAAGAAATCACAAAAATTCTGGCCCACATGGCTGCACTTTAAACTTTTTTTTACAGTGCTCATCAGAAAAGTTGTTGATAAAACCTTACCTTTTGAGTGTCTTCTATTTCTTTCCTCATGTCTTGGTTTACGGCCACTCTTGTCAGTGATCTGTGGGGACAGTAAAACATGTACAGTCAGTACCAGCTCCCGCCAACATCCCAGAACAGTCATAAAAACTCATTTTAATCTCAGAATACCTGTTCCCTCTTAGACGCCATATCTGCTATGCTGACAAACTGTAAACCACAGTAACTCTGACTCAGCAAATTCTGAACACCGCACATAAAGCTGTCTTGAGCAGCAGTGGAGGAAAGTCACAGTCACACATTAAAAATGACCTACACATAATGCATATGCATGCATTCTGTGCTGTTATACATGCAAAAATGCATAGTTGAGTATTCTACAACAATGACGGTTACAAATATTCCTGTTCTCAACCTTTTTAATGTTTACATTATTTTCTTTTAATTATTGGACTTAATAAGGATTCTATAAGGATGAACCTTTTAAAAGGCAACATTTGTGTAAATCTTTCCTTTTTTCTTTTTGAGTTCTGAGTCAGAGAGTTGTAACAAAGGTAATGATTTCTGTCTAGGATTTTTTCTTAGAGAAACCAAGACTGAATTTCAGACTTTTTACCTGGCTCTGCTTGGGAAATTTTGGCTGAGGTCTTGCATCAATTTGAGAGAATCAAACTTTGGCACAGTCATGATCCGAGATGCCGCCTGGAAACTGAGGTCTATTGGAAAGACAGAAAAAGGCATTTCAAAATCTTTGTTAAAAGAGCCAATAATCCATGAAAAATGCCTGTAATGCAAGAGTTAGTTAAAACTATTCATAATTAAAATATAAATCTAAAATTTTGTAATAAACGAACAGCTGAATTCAACATTGTCATAATTTACTTGTACACAAACACAAGATCATTTTGAAGAATCTATGGCTGTTCTCTTCTATGCAATTACACTGAACGGGGACAAGAGCTTTCAAGTTTCATGATGAAAGGGTATCAAAAGTATTTCATACAACATACAACAGTTTTTATGATGAACATTTTGAAATTGAAGTCATATATAGAGAAAATGTGGACATCTGCCCTAGCTCTCCTTAATGCATTCATCTTAAATACAGCAATTTTTGATTTGTGAATGAATCTGGATGAATGAGCTTCATTATTATAATAATTATAATAGGATACATTATGGTATGGAAAACAGTGACATTGTGAGAAAGAAAGAACAGTGAGAATCATACAGGTTTAGAACAACATAAGAATAAGTACAATATGTTTTCATTTTTGGGAGAAGCAATTAAGAAATGTATTTTTGATGAGTGAAAACATTATGACTGTGGTTGCCATACAGCTTGATTTTTAAACTAGTCTAAAGAGTCCAGACGAAAGGGTAAAAATTCCACATCAAAGTTATTACCACTTACAATTCCAAAAAGTTATTACAAAATCAAATGACTGTTTCAATAACCATCCTGATTACCATCATGAGAGCCCTTCATGTCAAGTAAAATAAATTGCTTCATTTATCTATCAGCGCAAAATGAAAACAGCTCTTATTTAGCCACTTTGCTCCAGGTCTTACAGTGCAAAATTGCACTTGGCTGTGAACATGAGCATCTGTTCAGAAGTCTGAAAAGGAATAGGACAGATCGCTGCAGAAAGCAAAGGGTACAAACTGCAACCTTTCCACTGCTTCCCAATTGATCAAGTGGACAGTTCTCTCCAGAAACCATGTGGATCACTTTAATCTCACTGGGTGACGCAGCACCGAGACCAGAACACCGTAAGAGAGGACCATCAATAACAGCAGCCTGCCCACCTTGGAGCTCCCACACTTTGAGGGGAGTCATGTCATTGGTGCTCTCCAGTAGATGCTTCCTCAGCTCTCCAAGTTCCTCCTGAAGCTCTGGGTGAGACTTTCTGGAGGTGAAAAAGAACACTGTGAGACATTGTTTCACATACTGTAATGTGCAAATGTTATTATTCCTTTTGATCTACTGTATGGATAGATATAAAAGGTATAACAAAGAGAAATAAATCAGAGTGCTTACTTTAATTTCCCAAACAGAAATCCTTGGACTTCATCATTTTCATCCTCATTATCAGTGGTGAGTGATTTGGATTCTGTAAACAAATTCAGGTGATGTCAGTTTCAAATTATTTGTTTCAATATCATTAGCTACTTCTATTTTATAGTGAACTTATTCTTTTCCAGGAAGTAGTTTCTCTACTACTAATTTTGTAGTTTCACTACTTTGAAACTACACTACCATTCAAAAGTCAGGGGTTGGTACAATTTTTTTTTAATGTTTTTTTTTAAAGATTTATTTTATACTCACCAAGGTTCTATTTGTTTGATCAAATCAGAAATCATTCTAATGTACTGATTTGGTGCTCGATAAACATTTTGTAAATTATCGCTATTAACAACTGTGTTGCTTAAAATTTTGTGAAAACGGTGATAGATTTTTTCAGGATTCTTTGTTGAATAGAAAGTTCAAAAGAACAGCATTTACTGTATATGAAATACAAATATTATGTAACAATGAAAAGTCTTTACTGTCACTTTTGGTTAATTTAATGTGTCCTTGCTGAATAACAGTATATTAATTTCTTCCAAAAAGTCTTACTGACCTCAAACATTTGAAGGGTAGTGCAGTTTGTCAAGCTACTCATAATTTACTGCATATTTCTTAACACTGACTATTAGAATAAAACTGTTATTGAGTTCTGTCATTTATTACTTATTATTTATTTGAGATTTTATGATACCTTTAACTTGTGTGTCGTCAACAGCTTTGTACTCGGTGCTTTTAATTGCCAGTTCAACACCATATCCAGACAGCAGCATCTTTTCATTTTTTGGCTCCTGTGGTGAGAAATCAGTGTGTGGGGCAACAGGTATTTACTATATGGCACAGACTCTAATAAATTCAGAAACGATATAAAACATTAAAGGGGTCATATGATGCGATTTCAAGTTTTCCTTTCTCTTTGGAGTGTAACAAGCTGATTGTGCAATGAAATTACACTGCTAATACTCACAAACACAAAGTGTCTTAGCACATAGACGAGTTTGCCCTCCTGTGCCCGCTCTGACAGAACCTTATGAAAAGTATTGAACTCCTTTGTGCCGATTTCAGCATAAAGAACAGCTACAGGCAGGTCTGTCCCATTGACTCCAGGGTACTGGTGGTCAGACTTGTACAGGTAAGGTCTTGGCCTGCATAGGACACATAAAAGAAAGGTTATGAGAAACCACTTGATTTTGACACAACCCATGTATAGAAAAATATTCCCCAAATATTTTTGAATACAGTATACTGTTGGTTAGTGTTACCTGCCTGCTGCAGTCTTCAAGAGCTTCTTCATATCCTTGGTGCTGCAGGCATTTTGATTAATTTTTATTAAATCTTATTAATAAATTAATTTTTGAATAATTATAATAATGTCTACATTTTGTATAATTTCACATTAGAGTCCACATGAGATTTTTGCACTGTATCACACTGTAGGACTGCATGAAACTGTGATTAAATTGTGAACAACTGAAGAAATGGTAACTAGTTGAAGCAGCTAAAACATTCAATATCCATTATATACATTTTAAACTAAATACTTGATATTTAAAAAAGGTTAATATATGTACAAATAAACACATCAATTTTTATGCATGAAGTTGGTTATTTAAATATGAAGGGTAGCCAGTGAAATACTGAACTATGGGAGAATAAATACTCCAGCCCACCTTGTTTCCAGCAGGAGAGGGGTCATGGACCATTTAGCCTGAAGACTGGCGACGACTCCTTTAGACGCTGAGTGCACATGCTGGACCCTCAGCAAGACCAGCACAACAAAGACCACCCTCATGATCAGACACTGCTAAAAGAACATAAAGATAACACTATTGTAATTGTAATAATTAAGAAATATTTAAGAACAATTAAGAAATATTGCTGCTCATTTGCATGCATTTATAAAATGGCTAGAAATTGCAAAAAAGAAAAGAAAAGAAAACTTTTATTGATGTTTTCATACATCAGAGAACAAATAGACATGTTGTCATGAAAAACGCTCCTATTAATTGCTTTGTGCTTCGGAATTGCAATAACGTTAAAACTATAGGCCAAATTTTACATACAAATATTATGTAGAAGTTGGCCTTTTTTCTTAGGATAGTATTTTCAATATCACACAAAAATTGTATTTTCAAATCATTGTCAATAAACAGCAGGTTCCCAGTGTAACAACTTATCCCATATATTGAGACGATACACTATAGGCTCAATGTTTGTTAAATGAAATATATCTTATTCCTGGACAATAACGTGATAATAAAACGTCTCAACAGAAAATAACTTCCATATTCACCTGAGCAAAAACTGGGAAATGTGAATTATTTTTTCATTAAAGTTAGTGTGAAGTATCGGTAAAACAAAGAAAGGACTTGTCTGTCACGGCAAACTAACTTTACCGCCGTTTAACTGTCCAGTAAAACGCCACGTAGCTACAATGTAACGTTATGTGTCGATTAGCTGCTACATAATTGTTAAATTTTTTCGTTCTTTTACAGACATGAGCGTCACTGTCAAGCTACATACACTTCATGCAAATCAGATGAAACAGACTATGATTGTGATTGGTCATTCTTATGAATGAAGAAACAATAAGATGGGAAAAGGGATAAAAGACATCCAGCACAAACTGTTCAACCCCATCAGCATTTCTTTCAGGAGCAACAACAACAAATTATTCAACAGCAATAAACCGCGACCTGACTGATATAGACTATGAATATGTTTTAAAAACACACCTAAATCATCGGAGGCTGAGCCGTTGTGTTGCCCGGTTTCACAGGACGCCGCCATTGAGGGGTCCTGCATCTTTAATTCCCTGTTCCACAAATGGGAAAGCGATACATTGTTTCTGCTTCAGTAAAAAGCTTCAACATTTTAGTGACTTATAAGCCGAGTATTTAAAATAAAGTTCAACTTAGTAATGGCAAAGAAATATCTTTCAGCACTAACATATGTTGTAAGTTGTACGCAGGAGTACGTTGTTCAGGCATTTTCACGGACAACTAATGTAATTGATGCAGTAGGAAAGTAACAGTAGAGCTCCTGCATGTGGAGTTGATGTCGGTGATATGAGCACACGGCGGGGCTTCCCATTTTGATTCATCTATAAAATCTAAAATATTGATATGAAATCAAAATATTGTAGCTACAAATTACGTCCCATTCATTTCTGTTTAAACAAATCACACATTTGGCTACTATTTTCAGATAGCCTATATGAGTTGTTTTGTAGCCTATAATTAGGGGGAGGGGGAATCAAGTTATTTTTAGAGGGCAATAATTGTTTTTTTTTTTATACATTTTGTTTGTTTTTGCTGACTTAAAGGTGAAAAAGACATATTTACATGTAGGCTGTATGTGTACATAGGCCTAATTGAATTAAAGAGTTTATTTAATATTGTTAACATTTGGATATTAAAGAGATTGTGACTGATATTTTAGATTAACTTAATAAATATAACTATATTTTATGTAGCAATGCTCTTCAGAAATCGTGATTTTATGTTAAATTAGTTACTCCATAGGATATGCATTAGAATTTAATACTAATAATGGGCTACTGATTTAAGATATTATATAGGCCTATCCTGGAAAATAATTACTTAATAGAAATAGAGTAAAATACCCAGAGAACTTAGTACCAGCTCGCACTCATGGTCGCGCTCAAAGGGGGCGCTGCATAAGAGAAAAGTGAATATTGACCGAGTATGACAGATAGGCTATGACAGATATGTCCAAAGCTGAAGCAAATGGTTAAACCCTTATGTAAAAATACAAACTGTCTATTGCAATAATCATTTACAAAATACCGCATGCCCATAGTGAATTTGAGAAAATGTGCAGTTTGATTATGTATGTAACCAGGTTGATTTAAATAAACTTGAAACAGTTTATTTACATGTTGCATGAAAGAAAAATACTTAAATTTAGATTTAGGCCTAACTGAAAAAATGACATTTTTACGGTGATGTGTAAAGAATCAATGTCCAGTTATTACATAGCTCGGCTGATTATTGGCAATGACATTACAAAAAGTTAAAAACAAAAAGCAGAGTATTAAGTATAAAACTGAGTCTAATAATAAATAACCTAGTTCAATAGCCTCTGTCTGAAATATGACATTAGTCTTCAAAGATATAGAACTAATATCTAATTTGACAGTTGACAGTTGAGATGCACATGCAGAGTATGTATTGCCTGGTACTAATAAACACAAACAACAAGTATAGTCTATGAGGTAGAACATGCATAAAATGAGCAGCATAAATCGCTTGTGAAAAAAACAAACAAACAAATAATTAAAAAAAACAAATCCTAAACGAATTTCCAGAATTTACAATAAGACATAAGGCTTCTCAACCAATTAGGATTGGCTCCAAATCATGTTAATATTCCCTTAGCATTCCTTTACAGGATTTTCCACAAAATGATATGGCACAAAGATTGCAGTTCAAAGGACTGTGATGAAAATAATAACATGCACACAGAATTCTCTCAGTAGTGGCGACACTTTATTGCTGAATATAGCAGAGCACTGGACTGGGACCAGGTGCAGATGAAATTGTTTGCGTGCTACGAAAGAGCTCGTGCTATACCGGTGCGACAGCGCTCGCGTCTCTTTGACATCATTCGCATCATCCCGCTGATGCGCGTCGCGGGATGATTTTATTCTGCGAGATTCCGCAGAATAAAACAGACCAACGGGGCACTTCAAACCGTTTGCTCTGAACACAACGAGCAGACGTTAGTATTTTGAAGACTTGCACTTTATTTTACCACGATGTTCGGTTCTTAAACAGCATTTGGTTATGCATTTTGTTTGGTGACTTACACTTTCTTTACAACTTTGTGAGAGAGCAAGTTTGATGTGAAGACTTGGATGTCACACTTTTGCGCATCTTTTTTACCATATCAACATGTGGCATGGGTTTTTTGGGCTGGATCCCACACGAACGTCCTGGAAGAAGACCTGGAGAGGAGATCATGATTCACACTAACTGCATGAAGAATTTCCTTGTGTTGAAATGAATGATAAACCCAACAAATGGATTTTCATCCCAATTTTAGCCATTCTTTTTGTCATGATTGGGTACCAGTATATTTGTCCGGCAGGCGGTCAGGCTTGCCATTTTAGGACAGGAGACAATCTCGTTTGGATCGGTTCCCCGTCCACTCCAGACCCGACCACCGATGACCCGGAGGAAGACAGCCCACCTAAATGTGCGTCCAAATTCAACTTCACGGAGCGCGATCTGACACGCGACGTCGATTTCAACATCAAGGGAGATGATGTGATTGTGTTTCTGCACATTCAGAAGACAGGCGGGACCACCTTTGGCAGGCACCTGGTCAGGAATATTCGCTTGGAGCAGCCGTGCGACTGCAAAGCGGGACAGAAGAAATGCACGTGCCATCGGCCCGGTAAGCAGGAGTCCTGGCTCTTCTCGAGGTTCTCCACGGGCTGGAGTTGCGGTTTGCACGCGGACTGGACGGAACTGACCAACTGCGTGCCTGTGATAATGGACAAAAGGCAGTCTCCAAAGCGCAAGAGGTAACGCGCCCCTCTCTCTCTCTCATAAACAATTCGGAGAATTCATTTGCCGCTCTGTTGCCTCTAATGAAGGTAATGATGAAGTGTAAAATGTACACTGTAAAAAATAACCGTGAATTTAACGGTAAAAGACTGTAAAAATGCTACAGTAAAAACCTGTTAAATGGTTAACGGTAAATTTCCCTACTATATACGGTGAAAAACTGTATTGGATATTACATGTATTGGACATTAATTTTACGGTAGTATACCGTTTTTGGAAGTGAAAAAGACCGTATAATTTACAGGGAATAACCGTAAATTGACATTCCCAGAATTCCCTGCATTACATTTCAAATTTTATGTTTTTTTGTTGAAATAACTATGTTTCTTCTTAGTTTTTTCTTATCAGTTTTGTATATTAGGGTTGTATGTTACACCTAATGTTGTTAAATGAATGTTAATTGCATTATTTCAGTTTCATGTGTCTTACCATGATGGTGTTTAGTGTTTGTGTGAATGACACTGTGCACCTTCTATATATGTTATTATTTAAAAGCTGCTTGTGATGGGCTTTGGTTCATCATGTGACTTTCTCATCACCACCTGCATTTGGTGGTTATCAGTGTATTACAAAGGTACAAAACCGATTTCAGTATTTCAATAGGTTGGTATATTAAAATTTTATCAGTTAATGAAATTACGGTATTTAGCTGTCAATTTAAGTTACAACCGTAAAACCTGAAACGTTGCTACCGTATTTTTTACGGTAAAATTCCGGAA